AACAACATATTTGTATTATATTAGAAATACATTTCTAATATTTATAGGCACTTTAGGATAAGCATTGGACTGGTAACAGCAAGGTCATCAGTTCAAACCCACCAGCCATTTCTCAGAAACTCTATACAGAATAGCCATGAGTGGGAACCAATTCCATGTCACACAATAACAACTATGTTTATGGATTTCTGGTATGGCAATGTAAGAGTCTTGGTGTGGCGCTGTGGGTTAATGCGCCAAATTGCAAAGCCGTTTGAACTGCAAGGTCGGTGGTTCAAGCTCACCAGTTGCTCCTTGGAAACCCTATACAGGGTCTCTATGGTTCAGAACCGACTCGATGGCACTTAACAACAACAACAACTGTAGGATTAGCACTGGACTGCACCACAAAGTCAGCAGTTCAAACCCACCAGCTGCTCCTCCAAAACTCTATACAGAGTTGCTATGTGTCTGAACTGATTCCACAGCACTTAACAACAACAAATCTTTAAGAAAGCAGATTGCCAAGTCTTTCTTCCTTGGAACAGCTGGGTGAGTTTGAAACAGCTCTTTTGACAGCTCTTTTGGGTCACAAACATACCCATTGCATTGCCAGGGCTCCTTAGAGACATATTATTGTTAAGTGTCATCAAGTTGGTTTCCAGGCATAGCAGTGACTAGTGGGTTTGAACCACTGACCTTGCAGTTAACAGTCCAGTGCTTATCCTACAGCACCACACCAGAGACTTGTTGTTGTTAAGTGCAGTTGAGTTGGTTCTGACCATAGCGACCCTGTATAGGGTTTCCGAGGAGCGGCTGGTGAGCTTAAACTACCGACCTTGAGGTTCCAACTGACTTTGCAGTGCAGCGCATTAACCCACAACATCTTACCAGGACTCCAGAGACTTAGCTATATTCAAATACCAACTCTTTTAGGAAGCTCCTCTTCACACCCCCACCTCAAACAGTCTCTCCAGACTGATTTCCTAGAGCACAGATGTAAGTCAGTCCATCCTTTTTGGCCCTGAGCACTGTCTCTGCTCAGTTTGTATCACAGTTATTTATATTCTTGTGTTAAATCTACATCTAAACACACACATGCCCACAACATTGGAGAGTTTGATGTCAACAATTTTATACTTGTATCCCACCCAGTTCCTAGAAACAGCACCTGCACATTTTTTAAACCATAATAAATAGTTGCAAGACTGTGTGCATTAGGAAGTGTGTCTTCACCAACATGGGCACCACTGGGCACTTTAATCTGTGAATTTCCATTACTATGAGGTATGGAAAGGACCTAGGAGATCTTGGATCTGGGCCTTTCATAAGCCCCATGCAGTGCAGTTAATTACTTAATATGGCCCTGCTATCCATATTCCTCTACTCTTTGATGTTTTGTAAATTTTATCCTTTATGCCTGTGATGCTGTGTAAGTGTGGCACTGTAGGAGAAGCACTGGACCGCAAGGTCAGCAGTTCAAATCCACCAGCTGCTCCTCAGAAACCTTATACAGGGTTGCTATGATTTGGAACCAACTTGAAGGCACTTAACAGCAATAACAACATGCCTGTGATTACAGTTCTGGTGTGGCGCCATAGGATAAGCACTGGACTGCTAACCGCAAGGTCAGCAATTCAAGCCCACCAGTCTAACCAGGGTTGTTGTGGGTTGGAATCAACTGCATGGCACTTAACAACATTATTCCTGTGATTATGGTTACATTTTGAAGTGAGTTGTTAATGAGATGGGATTACGGTGGGATTAAAGTGAGATTCAGAATTACAGTTGGGCTAAGTATAAGGAGCTCTGGTAGCATAGTGGTTACGAATTGGGGCTGCAAACCACAAGGTCAGCAGTTCGAAACTACCAGCTGTTCTGCAGGAGAAAGATGAGGCTTTCTGCTCCCGTAAAGATGTATAGCCTTGGAATCCCTGTACAGGGTCGCTGTGAGTTGGAACCAACTCCATGGCACATAACAACAACAACAACAAGGATTAAAGTGGAGTCCTGGTGTAGTGCTGTATGATAAATACTGGACTGCTAACTACAAGGTCGGCAGTTCAAACCTACCAGCCACTCCTTAGAAACCTTATCCAGGGTCACCATCAGTCAGAAACAACTCAAGAGGACAGACATAAGAACAGGAACAACAAGTATTAAAGTGGATGGAGGTGGGACTAAGGATTAAGGTGGAACTAGGATGGGACTCCTGGTGTGGCACTGTAGGGTCAGCACTGAACTGGAACCACAAAGTCACCAATTCTAACCCTC